TTTTTTATTTTTTTAATTTAAATTCTGTTTGAACCACAGTAAAGTCTAAAAGTTAGGCAAAAATACACAATATTTTGATGACATCGCAAAGTTAGGTGTGCACAAGTTAGGTTACAGTACTGTTCAGTTCTGTGTTGGAGTCGATGGCAAGTAGTTGTGGGAGCAATGTGTTGATTTTGTTTGTACAAAAATAAGTATAAAATCCTGAAAAGTAAAGATGCATTGAGAATACAATGCAAAAGACAAACAGAAAATTTAAAGATTCATTAAAAGACGATAATAAAAAAATGTTTTGCTGTAAGAAGGAAAGAATGCAACATGTGATATTATGAAAATAATAAAGAAAATTAAATTGACTGAAGCTGTTTGTTTTCAAATAAATCAAAGTGCTTCAACTTCTTCTAGTGTTGCTAATAGTGAATTGTCAAATTTGGGTGTACCTTCACCAGATTCTAGTAGAGAGATTCTTCAACTGTGTCTGTCAAATAAAAGAATTGATCATTTGTGTACACGATACTTAAAAATCTTAATAATTAGTCCTGCATACCCTTAGTCTTTACGATAGCCATAAAGCATGATCATTTGTCATTCTCACCATCTGATACACTCATTTAAAATTTTTTTTACTAATAATTCATTCCTAAACCTCTTTTTACTGAATGGAAAATGAAATCTGATGCTGAACCAAACAAGCATAAATTATTGAATTTACAAGAAAAGCTAGAAATTATCAAAATTTTTTAGAACAGTGCATCATATGCCAAGATTTTAAAATAAATGAGTGTCAGATCAAAAGTTTGTAAAAGATTAAAACAATATATATATATATATATATATATATAAGGACTGTGGAATGTCTACAAACTCTTTTGCTTCAAAAGAAATTTGTAAGATAAAAAATGTCCTTTAATCTTAAATATGGAAAGATTTCCTTCACTTTGGATAAAAAAAAAAAAGGAATTTTCTCCCCATAAGTCAGCTACAAATTCTAGGAGAAACATCAAGTCTTTTTCTACACTTGAAGAAAAACAGTCTGAAAACGAAACTGGTGAAAATTTTCAAGTAAGTCGCTCTTTTTGCTTTAAAAAAATGCTGAGAGATTTATAATATTTGTATTGTGGGTGAAAGTGCAAGTGCAGATAAAGAAGCAGCATCAAAATTCCCAGAAGAAATAAAACAAATTATTGAAGAAGAAGGCTACCTGAATGAACAAATTTTTAATGTGCAAGAAACTGAATTATACTGGAAGGAGCTGCATTCTAGAACTTGTTGTTAGAAAAAAAGCAGTCTCACATAGGTTATATAGCATCAAAGGATTGAATTACCGTATTGTTAGGAGGAAATGCATCTGGTGATGTCAGATAGAAGCCCATGCTTGTGACTCATGCTGAAAATCCTCACACTTTAAAAGGATGTGCTAAAAACTCCTACCTGCGTTTTGGCATCCTAATAAGAAAGGCTAGGTTGCTAAAGCAGTGTTTGAAAGTTGGTTTAAAGACTTGTCTTCACCCTTTGTTAAAAGTTTATCATGAAAAACAAAACATACCCTTTAAAGCAAAGCATCATTGATATTAGATAAACCAAGTCATCCTATAGGACTTTCTAATCATTCTTATAATGTCAGAATTGATTTTCTTCTCACAAATACTACTTCTGTGCTACAACCTATGTATCAAGGGTTTATTGCAAAATTTAAAGCTTTTTATTTGAAAAGGACATTTTTGCGGGCAATAAAAGTAACTTCTGGTGAAAAGGTCCCATCTTTGATCACATTTTGGAAAAATTACGATATCCCAAATGCTATTGAAAATATCAGACATGCATGGAATGAAGTGAGTGAAAATAATATGAAAAGCGTGTGACGGTATGCTTTGTCTCATTTCGCTATTGATTTTTGCGGCTTTGATTTTCAAATGGACACAATCTCAGCAGAAGTCATGAAACTCGGACAAGGTTTAGTCTTTAACTCACTGGATGCTGCCAATGTCATGGACTGTATTCAAATGGTATCTCAGCCTTTTGATGACAAATCTTTCATCAACATAGAAGAAGATTGGGCTTAATGAAGAAGAAAGTGAAATTGAAGAAAACTGGAAAAATTTCACATTGAATAATCTCAAAGAATTATTCAATACCATTGGAAGATCATGTGAATTGGTTGAAGAAAATGATCCAAATGAAAAAATGAGCTTTGAAAGACAAAAATTAGAAAATGCAATTCTTTGTTATGGCATGATAAATGAAGAAAAATTGGTACAAAAAACTTTAATTGTTTTTCTGGTTAAAAAAAAAAAGTTTTTCTTTTGATTTTGTAAACAAAAAATAATTGTCTTCTATTATGTACTGTACTTTTATTATTTTCCGTTAATTATAGGTAAATACGTAAACATTTTTGTTTTAACAAAATTTGATAGGAACGAATTACTAGTTTTACTACAGAAAAAATGTTTCACTTAGTTATTCTCTCTACTAGAATTTCACTTTTGAATAACCAGTTAACAGTATGAGGCAAGGTATTCCTGTACTCTGTCTTCATGTACTGACAATAAAACTTTGATTTACCAAGAATGCAACTTACCTGTGAAATATAATTTTGGATAGGGAAAGGCTCTGTCGTTATTGTACCACGTGTTCCTAGATCAGTGTGGTTATGAATACTTTCAGGAATGCATGCTTTTCCTTGATTATCACATTTTTCTTACAGTACTGATGTCTGGAGCGATATTACTTGTCATACATAAAATAGTTGTGCATATTCTCCAAGCTATTTCTTTTTTAAATTGGCACTTTTATGATTATGTTGTTCTTCCTTTTCTCTGACGTGGAGCATATATTTGAAATACAGTTCTTATAATGATCTTTTTTTCATTTATGTAATTTACTTTCAGATAAATTTTCTTTATTTCTAAAATTTTAACTTTTGCCATTTTCAGTATTTTTTTATGAGATTAATTCACTTTCATGTTCAGTTTCAATATACTTATCTTCTAAAACACTATTTACCCTTTTAGATCACTTCATTGAAACTTTTTTTAAAAAGTCTCTGTTAAGTCTTTTTTTTTTTAATCATAATGTGCATTACTTTGATGACCTCACCATACAGATGCTTTGCAGAATTCATAATGTAAATAGTCATGTTGTAGACTATATCACACTAAATACTATTTCTGTTTCAAATGTTTATACAGTAAAAACGTGGCAGTCCAACATTTAATTAACTAAAAACCTCAAGCAACTGTAATTTTTTTAATTTCAGATTTTTTTGCCATTCATTTTATTAACGTTCGTTAATAATTCAGCATTTGTAATGTTCAAATTTTTATAGTGATAGAGGTTCACTGTGGGGGGGGGAGAGGGGCAGTTCTATATCTCCTGTTCTACTGGTCCGATTAATGAAATTCAAATTGCGTTTTCCATGTCTCTAAAGCCCTACTTAAGATGTGTGTTAGATTTATATATAGCACTATTCTAATATGGTTGTTTTGACACAAATCGGATTTTTCTGAAATGACATGCTGATTTTTTCCATATTTCGATTCTATGACTCATATTATCCCAAACTGTCAAGTTTTGCAAAATTTGCACGAGTAGTTTTTAAAAAATCAGCTCTAAAAATTTTAGCTCCTCAATGTTAATTGAATTTGGTATATATTTGTTAATATCTCTTTTTTTTTTTATTAAACTTATTTTATTCTTTCTTTCACATTTCGAAATTTAGGTTCATTCCAAATAAAATTTGCCCACCTTTTATAATTTACCTTTAAAGTTTGTGTTTTTAAATAATTTTCATAAATTTTTCGAAAAAAATTTGAATTATAACCTATAATATTTTTAACATCATCTTAAAGTAGATGTATTTCTAGGCACATCTGCAAAAAACTAGAGTTTTTTATTCAAAATTTTTTAAATATACATGAATTTACATATTGGCACATTTTAAAATTTGGCATATTCATTAGAGGTGATAATAACGCCAAATGTAGTTTACTTACTTTGTTAAAATTATTTGAGAGTATGAACGATGACTCTTTTTTTTTTGCTCGCCTGCAATGAAAGAAAGGAAAGGAAAATAGGTTGTTATAAATTAGGAAGTTCGCCAAGTGAATTATTCTTGGCGCAAACTGGAAAAATACGGCAAGATAAATTTTTGAATTTCTCTGTAAATTTGGCGCCAAATTTTACAAAATTTAATATTTAGGCATGCTTTGAGTCGTTGAATCGAAATATGAAAAAAATTTGGCATGTCATTTCAGAAAAAGGTCAGATTTTGTATCAAAATACCTTTATTAGAACAATGCTATATATATCTAATATATATTCTGTGTTTCGCTTTCGAGACATGAAAAACTCAATTTGAATTTCGTCAATCGGACCAATAGAATGGAGGATATAGAACTGTCCCCTCTTTTTTTCCTGCAGTGTACATATTAAGAACCTTTTGTGCATTAGTTGAATATAAAGGGAAGTCTAAGAATCACTTTCTATTTTCTTGATAATTTCCAGATTTCGTTTTAAAATATTGTAGTGCATTTTGTGTCATATTTGATTGCAAATATATATAATCTTTAACTGAAGCCTAAAATTTTGCCAAAATTATTTTTTTGTGGGAGGGCAGGGGTAAGGCAGACTGACTTGTATATTCAAGTATACAGCCAACTAATATGTCACTGGGTTGTTGTTATAAAATGTGGAAGCTTTTTTATTTGTGTTATTTTAATAAGTTTCTGTCATTCTTTTTAAGATAGAAAGATCTGAATTTACGTTTTATTGGTTTTACGATTACACATAAAAGAGATCATTCAATTCCCCCTTGTATTAATTTTTGTAATACTTAATGTTTTGCATGGTAATTTTTTTACTTTTTGTATAAGTATTTTAATATTTTTATGGGAATATTATGAAGCAAGGAAAAGAATCAATAGTATTTTCAGCTTTTGCAATTAAAAAAAAAAAAAAAAAAAAAAAAAAAAAAACATTTAATATGTTGGAAAATATTTCAGATGCTCAGTATGTGATGTTCTGCTATCTGACTGGTACTTTGAAAAAGATGGCTTGCTATTTTGCAAAGACGATTATTGGTCAAAATATGGAGAGGCCTGCCAAGACTGTAGTGAGATCATTACGGGTCCAGTTATGGTAATGCTTTTCAGATTATAAATTAATACAGTACAAAGTCCGAAATCCGGACTTGTTGGGACTTCGGCGATTCCGGATTTGGGATTTTTCCGGATACTAGATCATCAATTTAAATCTGGTAAGATGGCATGCAGAAATTATACAATTAAAAATATGAAATCAATTTATGAAATAAAGAACAGTTATAATCTAAAGGGTATCAAAATTTACAAAAAAAGCTTAATATTTATTTGTTTACTTTATTAAACATTTCTCTCAATGTAAGTTGTTTAAGTTGCTTCCACAAAAAATTCAAAAAGTTCCTTTTTCTTTTTTCTTATGTCGTATACAGTCGACTTTCTAATGCAATTTTGAGACGGATATGCTTTTATCCATTTTTTGCAGCAATCCACTTTTTTGTTTAATGGACATCGAAAAATGGTTTCGCTTTGTAGATTCTTAGGCAGCCGCAGTATTGGAAACTCTTTTCGACATAATCAAAAGTTCAAGCTTAATTTTTATAAAATTGCCGTAAGAATAACAGTCTGTAAAAACTAATAAGCTGGAACAAATTACAAGGTTAAGAGAGCAGCACAATCTGCTACATAACCTGAAATGCCTTGGAATCAGTAAAGATAATTTTAGTATAGCTTAATAGTGTCCATTTTACGTTATTGGCTGTGTATCACAAGATTGGTGACGAAAGGCAAGTTGTTTCACTAAATTTTGTCTTGCTCCTACTGCGTAATGAATTAAGCCTGAATTGTATTAGTTATTTACTATACCTACGTTTATTTCTTACTTATGCTTAAAACTAATCTGAATCCTAATCTAAATAAACTTCCACATATATTATTTAGTGCCGGACACTAGTTACTGCCTGGTGCAGTCTCTATGGGTCCTAAATTTGGCTACAAAGTGCCTTCCTAAGTTCTAAATTTTCACCGCGTCTAAACTTTGGATCCCAGGTGTTTTCCCTAAATCATAAAAAGCATCTCATCCCTTAATTTTGTCACTGGGTGCTTCCCCAAATTCCAAAAATTTTGTCTTTCCTAAATTCTGGTTTCCGGTGCTGACATATTCTACTGCTGCTTCTGGGTTACTTAAGAATAACATGTCAGTTATTCTTAATTAAAACAGCACTAAATGTAATCTTTTGGCCTATGAGTTTCATTACAAAATCTAATTTTAGCTTATGAAAAAAAAATTTTGTTGAATTTTTCTTCGTCATCATTTCTTAAGGCATTTAAAAATCTATAAACATTGCCAAGCGTAATGTTAGCATAAAAGGTTGCCATACTCTTGTTATTCAATTACTAATATAAAAAAAAGTTTAGACATCACTGCATGAGTTGTTACCTAAGCTGTCATGTATTGATAAACGTGCAGTGATGAAAGCAAAATCTAATAAATAATGACTCGTCAGGTCAGCATCAGGGATATAAAATAGGTGAATGTTTCGTTTGAGATGTATGCTAAGCAGATACTCAACTATGAAGCCAAATTATTAATATCACAAATTTATGCTTACATGATTGTTTTTTTATAATGAGGTATTTTATTTAGTGCCTAAATGAAATTAAAAATCGAAATTTTTAAGGGAAAAATCTCCACACGTTTCACTGTCGAAGGAAAAATCAAATGCACATGCGTAAAGCATTTAAAAAAATATGTTTGTGGCATTGAGGTCTCGATTTTGGATCATTCCGGATAATGGATGTCCGGATTTCGGACTTCGTACTGTATTCTGTTTTTGCGTATTAATTTGTAAATTAATACATTAAGAATTAAATCATTCTGTGTGCTAAAGATAATCTGTACTTCAGTTTTTAATGAACTTAGAAACAAACTATTCTTGAAAATTAAAAAGTAATTTAAAATTTAAAAGAAATTAATGGTTTAGTTACCTAAAAGACTAAGTTGAATAGTAATTGGAAAAATATATGCTAAGCGAGAGATTGTTAGCATCTAAACATTGTGTACGTATATCATATGCTACAGAAAAAAACTTAAGTGTTTACAAAATTAATATACGCAATTTTTTTAAGACTCAACAATAATCTGGTTACAATTAATGTGAAAGTTGTTATATCTGCATTAATGTACGAGGGCCATCCAGGAAGTAGATTACGTTTCCGTCTGTGTCCGCTAGGGGCGGGGCTAGCGCGGCCATCTTGGGGTCAGAGCGTTGCGCAGCTCAGTCTGCATCTAGCCATGCTAGTGAGAGGTTCGTGCTGTGCTCCGTTCAGATACTGTGACGGTTTGAAATGTCTGCGTTAATTGAAAATCCCGCGAGCTGCGAGGTGTGCTCAGTAATAAGGTTTCTGACTGCAAAAAACTGTAAACCGATAGAAATCTATCGGCAGCTTCGTGAAGTGTATGGGGACAACATTATCACTGAAGGTGGAGTGCGTCAGTGGGTCATAAGATTTCAAAATGGCCGAACCAATGTTCACGACGAAGATCGAAGTGGGAGACCCAGCATAGTGACCGCCGAACTTCTCGAAAAAGTCGATGCTAAAGTCCGTGAAAATCGAAATTTCACAATAACGGAACTTTCTTTGAGTTTTCCACAAAATTTCGCGAAGTTTGTTGCACGAAATCATCAGCGAAAAGCTTGGTTACCACAAGTTTTGTGCAAGATGGATTCCAAAAATCTTGACAGAGGACCACAAAAATCAGCGAATGGCTGCAGCGTTGAACTTTTTGGACGCTTACCATAAGGATGGTGACTCTTTACTCGATCGCATCGTTACTGGTGACGAAACATGGGTGAAACATGTGAACTGTGAAACGAAATTGCAATCAATGCAGTGGGGGCACACAAGTTCTCCCCAAAAACCCAAGAAATGCATGCAAACAATGTCGGCAAGGAAGATGATGGCGACTGTTTTTTGGGACAGAAAAGGTGTAATTTTGGTGGACTTCCTGGAAAGAGGCACTACAATAAACTCTCAAAGGTATTGCCAAACTCTCCAAAAACTCAGAAGAGCAATTCAAAACAAGCGCAGAGGAATGTTGAGCTCTAAGATCTTGTTGATTCACGACAACGCCCGGCCCCACACGGCAAATGTCACTCGTAAAGTTCTTGAATCTTTTAAGTGGGAGTTGTTTCCTCATCTGCCGTACAGTCCCGACCTGGCACCGAGCGACTTCCACCTATTCCCAGCAATGAAGAAGTGGCTGGCTATGCAGCGTTTTGATGACGACGCACAGCTGCAAGAAGAGGTAACGAAGTGGTTGAAGGCGCAGGCGGCCGAATTTTTTGACGAAGGAATTTCCAAGCTCGTACATCGCTATGATAAATGCCTTAATTTGTATGGTGACTATGTAGAAAAGTAGTATTTGAGTGTGGCTTTCATCTGTATATAATAAAATTTGTTTCCTATACTTTGTTTATTTTTTTATTCCAAAACGTAATCTACTTTCTGGATAGCCCTCGTATGTTTCACAAAGTTATATAAAAGATAATAATTATTAAATAGAAAAATTTCAAAATTTCTTAATTTAAAAGTGGGGTTTTATTGTTATTTATTTATTTATTCACTGTTCACTTATTATAAAGCTTGATTTTTTTTAGCATAAAATTCACTAATTTTTGTTATAGGTTGCTGGCGACCATAAATTTCATCCTGAATGCTTCAAGTGCACAAACTGTGGTGGGTTCATTGGTGATGGAGATTCATATGTTTTGGTGGAAAGATCAAAACTGTTCTGGTAATTATCATCTAAAATAATAAAATATTAAAATTAATATCTAAAATAATAAAATAGTTTTTTACAATTATAAGTATTTAATAGTTAGATTATTTCATTGGAATAATATCTCTTAATCTTTAAAATTTTCAATAAATTTCATAAATCACTTTTTACATCAATCACAATTTCGGTTACTTTTCAATAAATTAGTCTTACAAATTCCCATAGAATTTGGACATGATCTTTTTAAAAAGTAGGTTATAGTTTTATGGCATTTAAATGTTTTAATTCTCCAAGAGTTATGTAAAATTCCTCATAGAAGGACGGGTTTCCAATTTTAGTAAACACAAAAATTTCTAACAGCTCCTGATATATCCAATTTCGGGTTGGATTCATACTGGAAGAAAAGGATTACCTAATATTTTGTTAAAATTGTTTTTTAAGTGTTACATATTTCTATGAGGATCAGAATATTAACTATTTTCTGGTTATAAAAATCTTTGAACATCATTTTCTTATTAGATTCATTATCCCTTCACAGTAGTTATTAGAAATGTTTCCTTTTTCCTTGCAGTTGCTTTTATAAGTGAGATTCATTTTCATTTATGCTTCTAAAAGTTAGACGTTAATTTTTTGAAAAGAGAGCCATATTACATTTCATAAAAAATACTTGTTCTTTCATATCTGCAATGCTTTTAAAATCGAATAGATTATAAGCTGAAAGTCATTTAATGGTTTTATAAGATTATAAATTTCATGGTGTCATTTAAGAGCTGAATTATCACCAAAGTGTGAAATGAGAAAAATCTGGATAAAAAGTGTTATTTTTCTTAATTTCAAGCTATGTATAAAATTTAGCACCCATAGTGTGCCATCTATATTCAATAAATTTAGTTTGTTTGTCTAACTTAGTTTTTGGATGTTACTAAAAAAAATTGGATTGTTAGAAATGAATTGAACATTAAATGAGATCGGCTTGGTTGTAAACTGTGGCAAAGTATGATGCAAGTATACACTTGCTCGTGTGCCTTTAGGCAGAAATCTCATTTTTGGCATAGTTTGTATTGATCAAAATGTTTCATGACATTCTGCTTATCATTCATTATTTAATCTATTAACATCAGGAACCTTTTTTCTAACCTAATATTTCATTTTTAGTTACTTAGTAGGGACTGGAAAATCATATAAAAAATTTTTCATAATTTTTTTTAAATTTAAAATTCCAAAACATGAATATTTGTCTTATTTACAACATTTTAATAACTGGAAGTATTTATTTAGGGCCAACAATTGCAAAAATAAAGTTGCATGAGGACTTTTATGGCATTATAAACCCTGCCCATAAAATATGTTATAATGTTGTCATAATTATGTTTTTTGTTCATATTTTCAACGTAGTTCGAAACTGATAGAAATTTTAAAATATCAAAAGAATAACTAATATTTTACTTTTGCTGGCTGAATCTTTTACTATCTTATAAATTATGCTGTTATCAAAATAATTAATTATAATTATTTTTAGTGGAGGATGTTACAAGCGACATATGCAGCCGATTGCTGACCAGTACAGCCGTCAACCACATAGCATCCAACTTGTTGAACTTCCAGTCAATGAAAGCGGTTATGAAAGAAAAATTAAACTCTCTGTAAATAGTCCTAAATGCTCAATAGCTGGGGGGGTTCGATTAGGAGTTCATGTTGTAGAGTGAGTATAAATATTTTATCCAAGTTATAAATATATATGAATTCAGTCTTAAATATCAATCTTAAATCATTTTAATTCATTTGCATTTTATTATATGATTTTAGCAATCCATCATAATAATTGAATGTTGTAAAAAAAAAAAAAAAAAAAAAAAATTCCATGTACTCTTCTATATACCAAAGCCGAAACCTTTTTATGACTTTTGGGGGGATGAAGTCAACCTGGTTTATAGCTATTCTACCATGAATCATGTTGACATGTTTGTAGCTACCAACCTATCATGAATGCTTTGTACTGCGATTGCTATATATGTGGAATGCTGCTCTATTTGTGACATTTGATCCTGGAGCTGCAGATGCTAATTGAAATGTCTGATCTGAACTTTGGCTGCAGTTGCTTTTTTCTTTTTTTAATAACAGTTTGCTTCAGGGATAATTATTCTCTTTTTCAAAGCTTTCTTTAATTTTTTAGTATTATGTAAATGATATTCTACTCGAAACTTTACACGCTATCACAATTTCGAAGACCGTATTGGAAACATAAATACTCTAGAGATTGCAATGGTAAATGCTGCATGCAGACAAGCATCATTTGCCTTTAATGGAAGTCTACAAGATCTTACATCTTGCTTTGTCATCAAAATAGCACATCTAATGCCTAATTACTGCTAACAATCAATAGAAAATGTCAATGTTGAGAAGGATTTGAAAACTAAGACTTCCTACACCTGAAAAAAGTGGTAATAATTTAGAGATGTAAAACAGTATATCTTAGTTCAGTACTGCCACTGCTTTATGACACAAATGTTCTTATGCTGAACTGTGTACATTGCGTCCACTAGAATTTGATATTCGTTGCCTAATATAGAAATCACTGCTGCTATCTTGGTGCAAGGGAATGTTATTTTAAGTCTGGCTGCATTCAAGCCAAATAGTTATATTGAATTATATTGAATTGCAATGAGTATGTGTTTATATGTGGAAGAGACAGATCATGGATTCAACTAAGCTGCAAGCTGAGGATGATTTCTCATGATGTGCAGTCTCATGATCTCACGGCTGCTGCTGGGTATTTTGTCACTTGGTGCAATCTTTGTGGGTCCTAAATTCTGCTACTCAGTGCCTCCCTAAATTCTTGTGCCTGGTCCTCTTTAAAGTGCTAGAAATTTTGCCACCCCTAAATTTCTCCCCTTGATGCTTCTTCAGATTTAAAAAAAAACTGCTGCCCGTAAATTTTGCACCTGGTATGGTTGCACTGGCTGCCTTGACAATGGTGCTAACTGTATGTGTTCTGTAGTCATATGCAAGGACAACTGTTACAACAATTAAGACACAATAACACACCGAATAAATACTAATTCAGAAGTCAAACAACAAAAATCAGCATTATATTTTCAAAATTTTCACAGGGCTAGTTTCAATGGTTTTACCGAAACACCATCCTCAGCTGCAAAACCGCAAATGAACAAGATAGGAAATAATGATTAGATAAGATAAAAAAAGTTTGGACAAGAATAAGCAAGTGGCGCCATCTGTTGGTGAAACCAAAACTAAAACATAATTTCTTCTTCTTTTATTCCTATGTTTTCCGTGCTCTTGAAGTTTGCTCCTTCAAACTAGCCCTTGATGAAGAACTAAATTATTTAAAAGCAATAGCTATAGACAGGGGCTTTTCACCCAACATTATTAATCAAGCAGTTAAAAAATTCTCATCTCAACACACTAAAAGGCACACTCTTGTTTCAGGAGATTATAAAAATTCCGTTGTCATTCCCTTCTTTTCATCGATTAGCTATAAAGTTGCACATATTTTGCAGAAATTTAACTTTCGGGTTGTTTATTCTCCCATCAATAAAATTCAGAGTTCCATACTCAAGGACCCCATTCCGGATATGAATTCTTGGGGTATTTATAGGATTCCTTGCCAGTGTGGTTTGATTTACATTGGCCAAACTAGGAGAGCCTTAAAATTTCATGTCAAGGAACATGAGGCATATGTTAGAAAAAAGGAAACACAGAAGTCTTCTGTTGCTCAACATTGTTGGTCCGAAAATCACACTTTCAATTTTTCGCTGCCAAAATTATTCAAAAAACATCTTCCATTGGAGAACTGGATTTTCTAGAGGCATTTCACATTCAAAAAAATCTTTCTGTTATAGTTAACGATCCTAATTCCAATGCATCTTTGCCTTCGGCCTTTAAAGAAATTATGTTTTTGTTCTGGTTTCACCAACAGATGGTGCCACTTGCTTATTCTTGCCCAGGCTTTCTTATCTTATCTAATCATTATTTCTTATCTTGTTCATTTGCGGTTTTGCAGCTGAGGATGGTGGCTCGGTAAAATCATTGAAACTAGTCCTGTGAAAATTTTGAAAATATAACGCTGATTTTCGTTGTTTGACTTCTGAAACTGTTACAACATTTTAACTGCTCTTGAAAAAACATGACATACATAGAACTTGTAGCTGTTTTGTAACTTGTTTCACTTTTGGAATAACCTGCTCTCTGATAGATGGCTTTGTACTAATGTGATTATGCTTTTCCCCTTTGCATGTTGGTAAGACCAAATTAGCCAAGGGAGTACTATTATTGACATTCAGGAAATCCATTTACTCCTGCACCCTTAAATTTAAACCATGTTAAGCACTTATAGGACAAAACCCAAATTGCATAAATGCTCTGAAAAAGCATGTAACAAACAGAACAGCATTACAGACAACTTCAGAACTTGTCTGTGTTCGTGTGCCATCTCAGTGACTGATTAACTCATTGCTATGTTGACAAAAGAGTCAAACATTATTAAGTGTACTTAATATTTAGATAATTCCTTGTAGTAGTAAAACATTATTTGAAATATTTTAGAAATTTGCAGCTTATAATTTGATGAAAATCAATTTATTATGTTATTTATTGTAAAGTTGTGCAAGCGATTATCGGTATAAAGCATTTACTTCTTTTTCTTTGCTTTTAATAGTATAGATATAAGTCCTGATCTTATGTCTATACATGTTGGGGATCGTATCCTGGAAGTTAATGGTGTGCCTGTAAGAAATCAAGCATTAGAAGAAGTAAGTGCAGCTTAAACATCAGCTTGTAACATGAATTCATTTCTTATAAGTTGTTAATCTAACTTTTTCTTCTTTTTTTTTTTTTTTTTTGTGTGTGTGTGTGTGTGTTTGTTAATGTAGAAATTTAAATTTCCAGTAATTTTATTTACATATACAGATTATCAAATTTGGCTGTAAGAGTGTTTTCTTTTTTTTTTTTTTTTTTTTTTTTTGAAACAATTTGATATTTAATCTTTATTTATTTATTTTTATTTATTTATTTATTTATTTATTTTTTCGCATTAGTAAATTTTAATAATTTGTTGTAATGTAATTAATTTTTTAAACTTTGTTATAAGAGTTTAATTATTAAATTATTGGGTGCATTATAAAATCTAAATATGTATGTTATAAATTTTGTAAAAGTAAAAACTATATAGAGCTCCCGATTCATCCCTTTTTATAAGTATTATTACAAATAAAATGTAGTTAAAAAAAATGTAAAAGAAATTATATATTGAAAACTACAGGTGTTTTGCTTTGAATAGTGGCAGTACTTCTCTAAAAATGTCACAGAATTGGGTGAAAAGACAATGATCTTTCATATCATTAATCTTACTCCATTTTGTGCAAATGACTGTCCTTTTTCCTTTCATGTGTATGTGCAGTGACAGAAAGAACAGAGCTCCATACTAAATGGCAATCTAATATTGTGAAATCATGCTATTTTCAAAGCAGTAAATAGCTGAAGCACAACAGTTCACAAACATTGAATATGCTAGAAGTTGTCAATATTATGATAATTAAGACTTAGAGGAGACTGGTGGAAAATCGCATTACCTTACAGAAAGCTAAATGGTTGAAAGCATTCAGCAAGAGATGAGAAACTGGAACAGCTAATCTTTATCCAGAACATTCTTACATAGATGGAAAAATGCACTACTGAATAACTGATGCCATACAATTCATAACTTAACCTTCAGATAGGACTAGTATACATGATTATGCTGCACAATATAAAGGAATGCGAAATTTGTCTGTGCTTCTGAAATTTGAATCTTGATGACTTCCGTGTGTTTTTTAGAAATTAAGAAATTCCAGCAGTATAATGCTGCTTATCCCATTTGAAGCATTTTGAGAGGAAAAAAGAGGTTTTCTGTGATGCAGTATTAGAAGCCAAAAATGTAGTGCTATCCAAGTAATTGATGTCATTATGCAACACTATGAAGACTAAATTTATGGTAATGTTTACGTATGACTTAGATGTTAATCTACAGCAGACATGTCACACTTATGACCACAGGCCACACGTGGCCTTTGACTGCTTTTTTTGTTTTTTTCTTTCCGGTTCGCAGCTCACCCTTCGAAAATTCTGAAAATTATATAATTACATAGTACTAAAAATTAGAATTCTACCCAGTGTCAAAATTTATATACAACCCTGGATGTTAAAAGGAACTCTTAAAAATGGTTTCTTTACAAAAGTATTTTTTCAACCAGTGTTGGAAAAGTGTCAGAACATCAAGCTGTATGTCTTTGGATATCTGAAAACTGGTTGAAAGGTAAAGATACCAAGTATAGAGGAAAAAATACGATGTATGCAACTACTATCCGGATTTTATTATGATCCTTCTATTTTTTAAACAACTGCAGCATTAGGTAAAATTTTATGCATTTACCGACTGTTTTACTGAATATACCATCTCTACATATAATAAAAGAAAGAGTCTGTCTCTGTGTGTGTGTGTGTGTCTTTCGTTCGCGCTGCGTGTAAGTTAATAGACCCACGGGTACGAAATTTGGTACATAGGTCCATCTAGACAAGAGCCAGTGCACCTCAAAGCGATTTTTTCGAAATTCGCATTCGAAATTTTTTTATTTTATGTTTTGTGATGAAATCGCGTCATTTTGAGACATAATGGTCTATAGGAAAGCGAGATTGTACTCTACACACTCCATTTTCGCATCGTCATGAAACGTAGGCACTTAGCTATTTTATGAACTTAAAATAAATTTTGTGTTTCAATAAATCAATTAAATACAAATTTATTTAACAAAGGGAGCTTAATACCTTTTCAATGCAATTTTTTCTAAAAAAGTTTATGTTTAAAAATGTACAGTTTATTTTTCTTTGATTTTTGGACACGTTAAAATTTCAACCTTGCGACTGCTTTTACAAAAAGAATTTTGAAAAAATGATAATATTTTGTATTTTTTTAAAAAATTTTAAATGAAGCTTCCGGATGCACATCTCACATCTTTAAAAATGTGATTTTTGGCAACAATTTTCCTGTCTTATTGTTGTTGATAGATTTTTGATGAAATCACATCATTTTGAATAATTTCATTCTTTTAGAAATATGAGTTTGGCAACAGTATTTCATCGTATGTCTTATGTCACTGTTTCGAAGAGATTGGCATGTTTCATTTTCATTTATATATATATATATATATATATATATAAAATACATTTTTATTGACTTTTTTAAATAAAGTTGTTCTGCAGAGTAAAATTCTGTGCGGAATTTTATGTTTTTTGAGTTGCTTTCATGTTATTTTTTGCTTATTTCACTGTATGTAAGATATTGAAAAGTTTTGCATGATTTTTTTTCTTCAACGGGAAGTTGGTTAACTTTTTTATTAGGATAATTAATATTTGTATTAAGGGATATAGCTTATTATTGCAATTTTTTCTCTTGATAATATAAGATAAAATATCATTAATTATACTTTGCTTTTCAGAATTTTTTGTATTCTTTTATGTTATTTATTGCTCATTTCACTGCTTTTAAGATATTGAAAAGTTTTGAGTGATTTTTTTTAGGAAACAAAGTTCTTAACCTCCTTTATACCATTTGAGTTCTTAATATTTTGCAAATGGAAGTTGGTTAATTTATTTATTAGGATAATTAATATTTGTATTAAGGGATATTGCTTATTTCATTGTAATTTGGGTTATGTAATAACTTTTTTTATGAAGTTGTTCTGCAGAGTAAAATTCTGCGCAGTTTTTAAATTTAACGTTTGGTGTTCCCTTCAGCCATTTTTTCGGTACATTTAAAAGCCAGACGAAGGCTGGCAGCGAAGCTGCTAGTCAAATATAAAAATTGACTTTTTCCCTTCAACATCCGAACCATTGTACACTGATGACTTTGCATGATCATATGCAAGCACACGTGGTGCAATTTATGTTTTAATTGTTTGATCAGTGAGACAGAGAAATGTCCTGCCGTCCACCACACTTCCAGACTTAAGTATGACTTTTAAGACTTGAAGAAAATAGCTTTGTGGTATTTGTTTTCCAAAATTATTCAAACAAGAAAATGAGTTATTCTCATTTTTCATTTGAATCATCAACAGAACAGGCATTGCCAGTAGCATCTTATGGTCTTCCACAGTGGTTACACCCTGTGCCGATGAATACATTGAAAGAAAATAAAATCATGAAACATGTATTAATACATGAAATTTTGATGCATAACTTACTTTAAAATGCAGATAAAGTAATTTAAAAATATTCAAATTTGCTTATATAAGCATAAAAGAAAGTATTTAATAATACAGGTTTACCTCACTCAGAGCCGGTTGACAATTTGCAAAAATGTATAAACATAGGAATAATAGCAGTGGTAATGTATAAACATGTGAATAAAATGCAGACTATATGAAACTGGTATAAATTGCAAGGAAATTTTAAATGTGTGATTAATGGTGTAAATATCAGAATCATCCTCTAAGAGAATTCACAAATATCTCCTTGATAAAAATCCAAATACAGAAACTATTTGAAAATTAAAATAAGTCTGCAGTTATATTTTCGGTAACTAGTTTTCTGATCCTGCCACTACTTATGAAAAATTATTCAGAAATTTTTTTAATGAGATAAATGGGGAAAAGGAATCATTAGTAGCGAATGAGTTGATAAGTCTGTCTCAACTGTCTTAGAGGGTAAGGCATTTCTTTGTATATATACAGGGTAGTTCAACAGTATATGCCGAAAATGTAAAGGCAGATAGAGGGTGTCTGAATAAGCAGATTTCATATAGGAATGTGTGTGCGGTAATGTTGCGTTAAAGTGCTAGCACGTAAAATAGTATGAATCACAGAAGTCTGGAAAGACAACTAAAGACAAAAGAAAAAATATTAACAGTTTACAATAGGTAAGAGCAGCCACCAATAGTGATACAAGATTCACAGTGGTGGAGCATGGATCAGCGTACATTAGAAATGACGTCAGGCATGTTGAACAGATGTGCAGCAGCAGCAGACAAGTGGGCAACAAGATCTTCTGCAGATGTGATGGGGCTCTTGTACGCAAGGCTTTTAATATGACGCAAAAAGAAGAAGTCCAAGCAGGTTAAATTAGGAGAACCCAGGGTCCAGGGAATTGGTCCACCCTATCCTATCCAATGCTGGCCGTATACAGCGTCCAGGTGATTCCTGTTGTTCCGGCTGAAGTGAGCTGGGGTTCCATCGTGCTGGAACCACATTCGTCTGAGAACAACTGGAGGAACATCGACTAAAGTTCAGGTAAGACATCCTGTAGGAAGATGCTGTACATATGACCAGTTAAACGACTAGGTAGAATGTACGGTGCTACTAAGTTATTGTGCACAATGCCTGCCCAAACATAAATAGAAAACCTTTCTTGGTAAGCATGTGTTATTGTGCCATGTGGTTTGTAATGAGTCAACAAGTGAGAGTTATGGATATTAAACATACTCGACCGCGTAGAGGTAGCCTTATCAGTGAATAAAACACCTGCAGGGAAAGTTTGATTGCGTACAGTATGCTGTAAGTTTCAATGAGCCAAGTTGAGACATGGAAGATAATCATCAGGGGTCGTTGCATGCACTCTCTGTAAATGATACGGATGCATTCTGTCTTCATGCAAGGTCCTCAAAACAATTCCAATGCCACTATCATGCCTGGACACATAAAACAATGCACTGTCTGTAATGTATACATTGTGCTTAACTTCTGATGAAGACCTTCGAATGTTCTATGATCTGGTTGATTCC